GCTCTGGACTTATGGGCGATTTTCACAGTCATCATGCTCAGTTCTGCAAAGCATCCCTTATGCAGAGTCCTAGGGACAAATGCACCCTGCTCCAAAGAGACGCTGACCTGGATCCAAACTCCCACCAGGAGATAAAGCCAGCACCCTGGACGTTAGAAGTCGCCCAGGTCTTTTAAAACTTTTTGATATTTTGCTCATCAGAGATTTTTGGTGTTCACTTTGATTTTTTTTTAAATACTACACTTCAATATTGTTCACTTTGATGACCGTTTTAACACACCCTTAAAATCTGCACCTCACTCCCCTCACCCTAGCCCCTGCCCTGCCACGATACTGTACTTCTGTTCTGTTGCAAATGCCTGCGTTTTAACATACTTTGTCCTCTTTGACTCCATTCTCATCCCCTATTACCTTACAACCCTAAATCAAGGGGGAGGGTCTATTTTAAGTATCTTTGAAGAAAAGAGCACATAATTCTAATAAATATACCAGACAAGCAATTAAAAAACTGGAAGTCTTTCATTGTTAGTGATATAAATCTCTTCTAATCTCCTCTTGGCATTCCATTTTAGTTGAAGCCAAAAATGTAAGCACAAGGAAAAAATACCGAATCCTACTCTCGCTCCCCCAGTTCTGTTGTCGCACATAAAGAAGGGGAAAGACTCGAATCAAAACATTAAATTCCCAAATATCACTAAATGTTTCATCTTTCAAAACAGAAATTTTGATGAATATGTTCTCGTTCTTGGTTTGACACTCTTTTGAAAACTTACTTGTCCACTCCAGATAAAATCTTGTGCAGCTCCCACGTGCGGCACAGGAATCTAAAACCTTATTTAGGTATGTGAACTGATGGCAAAGGACAGACGCTTCAGGAAAAAAATCAAAGGGTTGGAAGAGAAAAATGAGGCAGCTCGGGCGTATCACTGCACTTATGACATTCATTTTAGAAGCTACTGTTGCTTCCCACTCTGTGGTCTTCCTGCAAATCCTTTCCATTCTTACCTTTCATAGCCCTCGTAGCTGAGTTTTCACTAAATAAGGTCTTCGGAACAAGAATTCTGTCCATTCCCATTGCGCCACAGCTTATCCAGGTTCTCGACCTCATGACCTGCAAACGCCATCGCTTCCAGTCCCTTCAGAAATCTACCTGGCCTGGTGCGAGCAGGTCATGTTCCCAACTTCAGTGCCTTTCACCCTCACCCCTCTGTCTGTTCCAGAACTACGCCATCATCCTGATGCCAATTAGATCAGGTGAGCTTTGCCTTTCAAGACAGTGCCACAACTTAACGTGGATGGGTTCCCTCGCGCCATATCGCCTTCATAGGTTGCTATCTCATGGACAGCAAGGTAGAATCTAGTGACACCCAAGTTTTCGGTAAGTAGTTGTAAATGAACAGAATGGTGAAATTCTAAGTAATGTGATAATAACCACTAACAAGTACTAAGCATTTATCTAAAAACCAGATTCTATTCTAATAGGAGAACAACTCCATAAAGTTAGTGTGACTTCTTATCTCTAGTTTACAGATGAGGAAACTGAGACAGAGAGAGATGAATTTATTTACCCAAGACCGCACAGCTAATCGCAGTGGAACTGGAATTTGGACTCAGGCAATCTGGCTCTGAATCCAAAGCTCATAACCAGCACGTTATATCATAGAAGGGTGTGCTATTGATGGATAATTGACATGTCAGTGTGGCCGGCACTGTCTGGCATTTGGGGTACTATAATTTGTCACCACTGTATTCTGTCATTACCATGATCTATCATCACTGTAATTCTTTGCTGCTGCTTCTTGATTTAAGCGCCACTGCTAAGCTTGCTATTTAAGGGCTTCTGCCCTCTGTGCTGGCCAGCCTCTTTATCGTGTCCCCAGCCAGCTGACATATTTACTTTTATGACCAGGCCCTGATTCAAGCTCCCCAAACATCCAGGCCTACTGACAACCGCTCCAGCCTACAAAGTTCCCTGCAAATCCGTGCTCTTCTCAGAAGATATTGAAACTCCACGTGGATCTATGGTCTGGAGCGCTGGTTCCCTTCTTTGTCAACACAAAGACCCCTTTGGCATGTAACAAATCACCTACCTCAAACTCCCCGGATGACAGTAAATACGTAGTATCTAATGGGGCAGCTCTCAGCTGGCAGTTCTTAGCCTGGCTGCTTGTGAGAAACACAGGGCAGCTTTTAAAAATCCCAGTGTCCAGACTGCACCCCGGAATAAATGAATCCAAATCTCTAGGGGGGGGGGGTACCCAGGCGGAGCTGTTCTTCAAGCTCCCCAAGTGATTCGAACGGGAGGCAAGGCTGAGAACCCGGGGCTCAGCACGTATCATCTTCACGCTTGTAGGCCTCCTTCGACAAGTCTGCAAGTCCTTAAAGATGTAAGCATTTATACAGAGAATGGATAAACAACAAAGTCCTCCTGTAGAGCACAGGGAACTATATTCAGTATCCTGTGATAAACCATAATGGAAAAGAATATCGAAAATGAATGTACATCTATATATGTATAAATGAGTCACTGCTGTGCAGCAGAAATTAACAAAACATTGTAAATCAATTATACTTCAATAAAATAAATACTGAGAAAAGAAAAGAATATGCCTTGAGATTTTAAGCTTTTGCTACTCAAAGTTGGGATCATGGCCCAGCAGCATCACAGCATCATCCGGGGGCTTGTTAGAAATGCAGTTTCTCAGACTCCCTCCCCTAGACCTACTGATTCAGAAAGAACATTTTAACAAGATCTCCGGGTCATCTGGATGCATAGTGGAGTTTGAGAAGCACGCCTTTAAAGCACGAAGAGACTACCTACAGCGCGAGGGTTAGGACTTTTCAAGCCTCAAGAGGCCATTAAAAATAAATATTTATTTACTAATGTATGTATTTTCACTTCATGATAGCGTCATCAACCTTCTGGGCTGCTACCTGACCTGTACGTAGAGGAAAAAACCAAACACTCCCTTTTCCTCACTGCCAAGGTCTCCTCCAAATGTATTCTGTTCGATACTGCTAGTCTCTGACATCTCCAGTGCTCCTGTGAGCTTACCTTCCTCTTCTTGAAGCCCTGACACTCACCTAAGATCTTGGTGTAGGGTCAGCTTGCCTAGGCCTTACAATTCTTATTCCTATAGGGACAGGGAACAGAAGAGGCTGCACCATTGTACAGTTTGGGATGGGCCTAATCTGTACGCTTCCTCCTTTTCCTAAGAGTAGAGGAAGAAAGGCTCACTTCTTGGCATTTACATGCAAAGAGCGTATTGAAAACCACATAAGAATAACTTCTAACATCTATTCTTCAAAGTATAGTATTCATATATTTTAAAATGTCATATAAAAGCAGAAATTCGGTAAGGCAAAAATCAGTGGCGTTTTTAGGTGTGTGTTTTCCACCTTTCCCACAGAGAAGTGTTTTAGAGGCAGCTTACTGGGGGATTCACAAAGAGAAAGGCTGCCAAGTCTGTTTTCTTGCACAGGGGAGGGAAATAAGTGAGTTCCTTTAAAGTCCGGTGACACAAGATCTCCTATGAAGAAAAGCCCTTTGTTTGTTCAAATTAGAATCTCCACCTTGATGATAGGAATCTAGGAACATTTTAAGTGAGCCCAGTTCTCTGATATGAAATGCAAGACCATGAAATACCAGCCCATGTATACAATCTGAATACATTTTTCTGCCCTCGTGGCTCTTAGGGTTTGAATCCTGGCAGAATGTCTTACTTGAAGCAGAACTTAGCTTGATAATGATTGGCACAGAAATGGATTTTTAAAACTGCTCTTGAAAGGACAATCCACTTAAAAATTCTTCCCTGTTCTACAGGACATGGGGCAAAACAATGTGCAATTCCTTTCCACCAAATTTCTCTAAAGAATGTAATTTTTACATACCTGAAACAGTTTTAAATGAAAATTAGCACATCAGGTTCCACATCAATACAAAAGAACAATTTAACACGTGCTCACGTTTCTGAGATACCATTGAATAAGACATACCATTACAGTGTCTTATGTACGACTAAGAGGGGAAAAAATTCTATGAATTAATTTAAGACATGTCATTGATTACAAGATTAACCTCAATTTCGGAGGTGATAAAACATGGGGGAAAATGTGTCTTAGAATTGTTGCAATTCAGTAGATTAACAAGCACAGCATAAGATGATACTTTCACGAAGGAAACAACATTTCCTGTCACAAATTTAAGGTTTGGTGTCATGGTGGCCAACACCACTCTTGGTTCATGACGCAGTATTATCCCCGTAACTAGCTTTGTTAAAGTTCACCCCCGTACACTCTGCCTCTATAGCAAATGGTTAAGATAAATCATAAAATCTGACTAACGGGAAAATTCAGTGCTTCTCCTTTGGGGGAAAAATGGTGGCTAACCGTAGCCTACAGCAAGGCTTGTATTTTCCTCATTGCAAACATGGGTGCTTGTGTACACCGGCGTGCATTTTTCTCAAAAGGATGCTAGCTATAAAGAGCGGGAGAGTTAAGGGGGTGAGCATCTCTAATTTCATGGGTACCTAGGCCTTGGCTGAGGCCTGTCTTGTCGTTTGCTAATGCACCTGTCCCGTTGGTAAGTTACACACGTAAGATGCATCCAGGCGCAGCCTTAGGGGCCCCTAAGCACACTTTTTAGGATTCTAGAAGTGGAATCACTGATGCACATTGCTGTCAGTTCCTGAGCTTCCTGCCAGTGTGATTTAGTAGGGTTTTTTTTTTTTTTTTCCAGTAAACACAGTTCAAAAGGACCCCAAGGGGCTAGAAAAAGAAAAATGAAACAGAAAAATCCCATAACGCAGTTTCTAATTTGATAAGTGGATTGGTAAGACAAGCATTTTCTGTTTAGGTGGATTGATCAGATTTGCCAGGAAGTCACCAAAGTTCCACTCAAGTCACCCTGCGTGGAGTTATGTAAACTTTTCTAATTCTTTGGAAATGAAAATAGAAATCCCCAAGGCGGCTTTAGAAGATGGAAAAACTGGCGTACTCACGAAGATTGGGAGGCCTTTCTTCTGAGTAAATAGTCCACAACATCGGGATCGGTCTCTAACAGGCTCATCAGCACTTCATTCTGGAGATCCGGGGGAACCTGCAGGGGCCAAATGCTGAGGCATAAATAAAGCCACTCCAGAAAGAGGCGAACTACAGTCACTGGCAACTTGACAACAGCATATAGAAGGGTGCCTTAAAGTTGTAAGAAAACAGAGTGATCTGTTGGTTAAAACCAAAGCTACACCAACCCATACAGCCAGTTTCATTCTTAGGACAAAGTGGATGATTACCAAATAGTCATATTCAATAGTCAATTCAATTCAAGTGGGGTGAATTGTCACGCCACTTGCGACTGGAGACACAGCCTAACCATTTGGGTACCTCTGTTGCTCAGACTCGATTTTCTTGGCTTTGAATAAGCAAAATATCGTGGTTAAGAGGAACGGTGTTTGTAATTTATTGTCCAAATGGGGACACTTTCTAGAGTTCATATTTAGAACTATGCCAAGACAACAGGCATAAGTTGGGACTGTCTTGGGCAGTTCTGGAACATAGGATCAGTTTATTGAGGACAGACCCTGGAGCCGGAGACTGCTTGTATTTGAGTCCCAGCTCCACTTGCTGGGTGTGGGAATTCTGGCAAGGTATATGACCTTGCCAGGTCTCAGTGCCCTCATCTGTAAACCAGAGATAATAAGAGTACTCACCACAAAGGGCTGATGTGGTGAGTAAAGGACTTACTACATGTTGAGAACTCAGAAAAGCACCTGGCAAATAGAAAACACTCAAAAAAAAAAAAAATGTTGACTAGTACATTTGCACGTGCCACTTTGTCATTCAGTGCCTGCCTTCACTCCTTTCTTGCCTCCTGGTCTATCAACAGTTAAAAGTTTCTTGCTGGGCTTCCCTGGTGGCGCAGTGGTTGAGAGTCCGCCTGCCGATGCAGGGGACGCGGGTTCGTGCCCCGGTCCGGGAAGATCCCACATGCCGCGGAGCGGCTGGGCCCGTGAGCCATGGCCGCTGAGCCTGTGCGTCCGGAGCC